CATCTGATTTCCGCTTCTCCCTCTCAATCTGCAGACTGAATTCTAACATATTGTGGTCACTGTCCTCTAGGGGTCCCTTCACTTTAAGCTTCCTAACCACATGTGCCTCATTCCACATCAAATCCAGAATTGCCTGTTTCCTATGGGCTTTACATAAGCTGCTTCAAAAAAAAAATCAAACATTCCATAAATTCCTTTCCTTGAGATCTTCTAGCAACCTGATTTTACCAGTCTGCCTGCATTTTGAAACTACCCCATGATTATTGTAATAGTACTTTCCATACACACCTTTTCTACGCTCTCAATTCAGCAAATTCTTTAGGACATTGGTGTATGTTTACTCTTACAGAGCACTTACCTGACAACAAATGAAACACAAAATTCCAATGTACCACATTATTTCCATTCACTACCCATTACACAAAATGAGTCAGTATTGTGGACAAGTGTAGTTTAGACGTAAGCAACTCAGTAATTTGTGTACTTAAAATTCAGTTCAGTATATACTAGACACATTGCCTAACCAGCCCTGAATATTGTTATAACTGTCAGCTTAAAATACAAGTACTAGGTAACAGTTGGACACAAGGCATTTACACAGTTAAGCACACGCATAAACTGAACTTTTTACATAAACAAGGCTAATGGACACATCAAAAACTGGATTATAGGACTAACTGAGCAAGCTCACGCCCTCCACTGAAATTCACCATCTCAGCATTCATTTGATTTCTCAGTGACTTAGTTTTTGACTTTTCTACTTCACTTGAGGAGTGCTGATGGCACTATTCACAACATGTGAAGTGCTTGCTGATATCAGTCCTGAACTTCCCAGTTGTATCAATGCTCCCTTTTCCTGCTGGCACAGTTCAGCTTTAAGCAACAAATCCAAATTAACCTTGACTACCACTTACAATGTCAAGGAAAAATCTGCATTGAGGTATTTCAAAGTTAATAAATGTGCTATGAAAAGTGCAGACAATGTTTTGCAGGCAAATACTGCAGTCAATCTGTTCACAGCACGGTTGCAAATAGCAAAAAGTGTTTTCACAATGATAGTTGAGTAAAGTCAGAAGATGGGAAAACTGATCAAACCTGAATAGTGTTACAAAATTCTTGACATTACACAAAACTTTGCTTCAGCTTCTTCACTGTCTCATCCACAAGCCCACAGCTCCAGTATGCAACAGTGTGCGGTTTACATCATGCAACCAAGCTGTTATAAGTCTCTACAAAGTGAATTTGCCTCCTTTCAAAAAGGAGAAAGAATCAGTCCTCCAACACATTAGCTCAATGGACTGTCCCAACTCAACGTAATTTTCACTTTAAAATTTTACATATCTCATTCCTCCGGATATGCCGACAAAAAGCACGATATGGATTCGGACCTTGCTGATTTTTGAAAGGTGTACACTGATCACGTTTATCCTCCAGCTCCTTTGTTTGTAGCTCTCCTTCGTGTTCAACAGCCACAAGGCTTCTTTCTTAACTTCCTTCCTGCTGTTAGGACTGGAGTCACACATCACGTGGACCAATATTTCTCATTATTCAAAAAAGTACAATTGGTATAAACTTGAGTCCTTTCCAAACATGCTTCAAAATCAAGTATAGATTCCACACATAGTTGAAAGAAATTTCAAATGTTCCTTACTGTACTGTTTCCAGACCAAAGGTCAATCTTAATTCTAACTTCTGCACTGAAAAATGTTTTCCATCAATTTTTTTTCTTCCGAGTGCAACACTTGCATATATCTTGGTTGAATTTCACACTACAATTTCTAACTGTAAGTTGTGTCTCTGGCCTTGTGTGGATCCTGTCTACTTCTTCAAAATAGACTGCACCTTCCTCTCCCCAGCTTCGGTTTTATTTGCAATTCTGAAAGGAAGGTGCATTCCAATTTTAGTGCTGGCTGTTAGAGTAGCAGCAGTGCAGGTTCCATAATACATCCACAAAGAATAACTACTGGCCCTCATTTAGCAAGTAAATATGTTTCTACATTTTTTCGATCATATCCATTACATTAGACAATCAAATGAAACTTTATCAAAGGCTTTCAGGGTGTCCAGACACATTGCATCAGTTTCAACCACACTGAACTCTTGTCGTCATCTGTCTGGAAATGCATCAGTAACACAGTTATGCATGCACTTTTTAAAAATTCATTCATGGGATGTGGACGTCGCTGGCCAGGTCAGTATTTACTGTCCATTCCTAATTTGCCGAGACGGTATTGCTGTGGTTCTGGAGTTGCATGTACAGAAGATCAGGTAAGGATGGCAGGTTTCCACCCCCAAAAGGACATTAGTGAGCCAGATAGGTTTTTCCAACAATCAGCAATGGTTTCATGGTCGTCATTAGACTATTAATCTCTGATTTTTTTATTGAATTTAAATTCCAATATTTGCTATGGCAGGATTTGAACCTGGGTCTCTGGATAAATAGTCTAGTGATAATACCGCTTGGCCATCATTGAATGCAAAGCTGTTGCTAGTTTATGGGCTGTAACAGACCGAAATTCTTCCTTTAGTCCTTGACAAATATCACGATTGAGAGAGTTTAATCCAAAAAATCGAAATGAAATAACACTTTAACAGTTTAGGATCTGCCAAAAAGGAGAATCATACTTTTGTTTTTGTTTATTTCAGATTTCCAGCATCAGAAAAATATATAAAGCCAGACTACTTCTAATTAACCCATACAGAGATGTTAGTACACACCTCTGGAGCAGTTGGGGCTTGAACCCAGGCTTCCTGGATCAAGGAAGGGTCACGACCAGTGACCCACAAGAAAGAAAGGTAAAAAAAAAACAGTAACTTGAACTTTTGTTAATTTGCATCAAACCAAATTATGCTTAAGTACAGAAACAGAGTTGCTGGAAAAGCTCAGAACCTCAGTTCAGGAAGGGTCACCAGACCCGAAACGTTATCTGTTTTTTACCTTCACAGATGCTGCCAGACGTGCTGAGCTTTTGCAGCAATTTTGTTTTTGTTCCTGATTTACAGCATCCGCAGTTGTCGGTTTTTATTTATGCTGAAGTACAGTCAGCTGTCACTGACACAGCACATGTGCAAGAGCTCCCCCTAGAGTTACAGCACAAATAACAAAGCCTTCCACCAACAACTTGGGGGTGTCACCTCTCTGAAAATAAAAAGGCCAACCAAGCAGCTTCCTAAAAAATGTCATTAAATACTACAGTGATAGAAATGAGGCGCATTGGCTATATAAAATGCAGAACAAATCAAATTTTTGCAAAGCTACTTCCAAATATGCCACTTGCTTTTCAAACAGATTCACAAACTCTCAGATACACACAAGGGCTACATCCCCAGAGGACGAAGCAGTTCAGTCTCAGGATAAAAGGCAAGCCATTTAGGACTGAGATGAGGAGGAACCCTTCAACTGAGAGGGTGGTGAATCTTTGGAATTCTCTACTTCAGACAGCTGTAGATGCTCAATCATAAAATTCAAGAGATTTTTTTAGTTACTAATGATGTGAAAGGATTGAAGATAGAGCAGGAACATGGAGGTGAGGGAGATGATCAGCCACGATCTATGACGGAACAAGCTTGTGGGGTTGACGGCCTACTCCTGCTCCTGAAACAGTGAGATAATTTACCTCAAAAATCACATCTGGCTTGGTCTTCGCCTGCTCAGTTCATAAACAAACCAGGAAAACCAATTGCCCTTATCTGACAAATTTCTTCTTCCTACCCAATTAGCATGTTATCTGTATATTCAAATTAACTAGCTGGCAGGCACTTTTTGTAACTGCACTAAGACTTAATCCCTGATAATAGAGTCCTCAATTCACAAAACAGTCATCATAAAATGTGCGAAATTGCTTGACATATCACCTGTACAACCATTTCAACACTCTTGCACTGATCTTAAGTTATGAGTTGTTAAAACCAACAGTAGTAAAACAACAGTAGTGAGTCTGATTTTGGTGAATGGATATGTCTCTTTCAAATTAAAAAAAGTGTGGATACCAAGAAACCCATTTGATCTGGGATCAGCACAGAGCAAAATACTAGCTCCACATTTATATTTGCTACATTTGAGTACAAAGCATGTGACAGACTATTTTATACTAAAAGCTGAAATTACTTCAATGTCATTCAAAAAAACATTGTCTCTTTAAAGCATTACATAAATCAGAGTATCCCAATGTACTTCTGAGGCACTATAAAACAAAAAAAATGACACTGAGCCACATAAGAAAATATTAGGACAGATCACCAAAAGCTTCATCAAACAGCTAGCTTTTAAGGGAAGAAAGAGACGCTGAAAGTACTAAGTGGGGACAGGGAGACATAGCACAGAACATGAGGAACAGAAGGTACAGTAACCTATAGCAGAGCAATTAAAATCTGGGATGGTCAAAAGGCCCTAATAGAATGCAAATATTTTAGAAGTTAAATCAGGCTGGAAGGGATTGTTAATATAGGTAGCCATCAAGAATAACAGGGTATCATGAATGCCAATATTTGAAAATCGATATTAGCTCAGAACACTTTAGCTACTGGGAAATAGCCCTGGAAGAAATACCATTGGTCAAACCAATCTACGTGACTGCAGAAAATCCTGATGCGAATCTATGGTGGAAACTGTCAAAGTACTTAAAGCTTAAACATCAAAATTGGAATACGTGATAACTTGAGGTATATAAGTAAAGAACATACGAAACCTAGCTCAAAGTTGTATAGCAACGATACAAGGTCTCAGGTTCTAAAAAGCTTGTGTTAAGTTTCATTAAAAATGGCAAAAAAATGTTTCAGAACTGACACTCAATCATTTGGTGGTTGTTGTAAAAAATAAAAATCACAACTCCCTTGCCACAAGTTGTATGATTTTGTGCTACTTCACAGCAGTACTCATAATTCTTGCAGTTTATATACAACACTAGATGGCACTAACTTCTCTGAGCAGAGGAGACTAATTTCCTTCTAGTCAGGCAACGCAAAAAATGTTTTTTGTGAATACTATAAAAATTTATTACCTTAATAATGTGTCTGGTTTGCTGAGCTGGTTGTTAGGTATACAGTTTTCCATTATTTCCTTGTGTGTACTCATGCTCTTGCTGGTGCATTTTTGCTTCTTTTCATTCTTAGCAGAAGAAGAAGGGATACTGCCATTGGATGTGCAGTGACTTCTAGGTGAAGAGTTGATTCCCCCAGTAGCATTCTTGTAATTCTTTGAAGCAGCTGTAAATGAGTCCTCTTTTAATAGGTTTTCTGTGCTCCCTACAAACTCGTTATTCAATCTTTTATTGATATGATTTTCCATGTATTCAATTTCTTGTATTTTAGAGTCTACTGGCTGTAAAATATTATTATTAATCCCAAGGTTTGGTTTTTTGGCTTCTTTGTCCTTCTCTTTCCCTTTTTCTTTGTACTCTAGTTCTGGTAAAGCCGCTGTCAACTTTCTACCAGCTGGAATTCCTCCATTGTGTTGTGGGAGCTGTGTAGAATCTATATCTGTGATCCCTTTGGCTGTAGCAACTAGGAGAAAATGAAAAAGAATTAGCACTCAGAATACAAGCAAGTGTATAGAGGGCCTGAACTATCACTGCAGTGTGTGAAGCATTATGCACTTCATTCCTTGTGTACCAACTTAGGCAGAACCTTAAAATTGTTAAAAGGCAAGTGTGAAGCAAAATATAGGTAGGATCATAACTGATGTCAAATAGACCTTTATGCTAAAAATATTTTTTATCATTTCTAACATGCTTCAAAAACACAAAGTACATACAAGCTACTGCACAAAAAAGGAAGAAAATATCCATTTCAGTCCCAACATCCTTCACTGTGTTGTTTCATATTCTACCATTTACATTAGCATCTCATCTAAATGATAACACCCTCAAAACTGCATTACTCTCAGTGCCAGCCCAACTTAGATGCCAGCCCATGCAGCGGTGCTCAAATACTCAATCCGACTCAGACAAATGACACAATTAACCCAAACCTAGGAACCAAAGCACATCATTTAGTCCTTGAGCACCAATTAGATTGCATTTAACTGCATTTAATTCCATTCAACTGCATTTAATTCCATTCACCTGGTTTTGCTCCACAAAATTTGATGTTATTACCCATCATAAATCTATCTGCTCCAATCTTGAATGTCCTAGCTACCTGAACCTTTTCTGGGAAAGAAAACTACTGATTGCTAATATTTGAAAAGCAGTACTTGATCATCATCGTGAACAAACAAAGGGGTTTATGACCCCTTATTCTCAGCATTCCCACATCAGGAAATTATTTCTCTTTCCCTATCCTATTAACTCCTTTTAAACGTTTTAAACAAAATGATCAGATCATTCCTTCACATTCTATAAACAAGAACGTACAAGCTAAATTTAGGCAACCCTGTCCTCAAATTCAACCCATAACCACCAGAAACCTTCTGGTGAATCTGCACCAAAACCCTTGCGTGGAAGGCACATATTTGGAAATGGATTCTCCAAAATCTGCTTTGATCTGTGTCTAATGGTTTGCTTTCATAGGAAAAGAATTCCAAGGCATTCTTCATTCTACTTATCCAAAATATGACATCTCCGAATGGCAGAATGGTACTTTATATATACACCGGTAATTCTGGAAACAAACTTGATACATTAAGTAAAATAGATAAAACTGAGAAACAAGTATAATCTATTTACTAGTTTGCGCACTATCCAAACCAGATGCAGTGGATCAGAAGCATGCAGTTAATTAATTTTTATGCTAAGATCATTCATGGGCACAGTGATAGTTTTAAGGACACAAATGCTGATAGATCAGGCTGCAGTTTCCTTAAAAACTCCAACATTGTAAGACATTCCCAAAGTGGACTCATACCAAAAACGTATAATGAACAAATACTGAGCAAGCAAGATACAGTTCCTGGTTTAGTGGTTGTTGCTGATAAATGGCCGAAATGATCTAAACTGGTCTCAATACTGAAGAGAAACATTTTCCAATAAATATCTCAAGCATACACAATAAAGGATTTAAACAATTTTGGCTTGGCTGGTCCTCTCCAAAAGGGAAATACAAATTTGGAGGACAAGGCAGCACCTCCCAACGGTGTTTGAAAATCATATCTTTACCATGTTCAGAAAGATCAATAAATGCTTAGGCAAGCCATTTCAAGACATCAGCAAACATTAGGCAAATAACTGATTCCCTGACTAGAGAAATAATTTTCCAAAGAAACAAAAATTCAGATTTCAATCCACTGGAGGACATCAAATTATTGGAGGGTGGCAAGGGCAAAGGGTGACAGAGAAGAGTTTGATGCAGGGCAGAACATAGGTTAGTCTGTTTTGACCAAGTTGGAGGTTCTTTAGTTTAGCAAAGTCGCACACGCCTGCTTTGGCTGGTGATAATAAATTATATTTTAATCTAACTCCTCACCTGATCACCAAGCCTTTTTACTTGCATCCTGGTTTAAAACATGGACTAAAAAAAATAGGGTATTCGTGAGGACTATCTAAAGAAATTCTTACCTTCTTCGGTTTCCCTCTCTTGCCTCTGTAGCATCTGCTGCTCTGGCGGTAAGGCCTGCTGTAGGAGCTGCATGTAAAATTCATTCTCCTTCTGGACTTCCTTCTGCTTTCTTAACCGCATTTTATAGCTTACATAACTTTTGAAGCCAAATCCCAGTGTCACCACAGGATAGCCAATGCTTTATTAGGTGTAAAGGGAGGAAAAAAAGTAACTTATTTAAAAAAAATTAACTCATGAGACATGTGTTACTAGCTAAGCCATGATTCACAGCCCATTCCTACTTCTCCAGAGGTCAGAAGGGTAAGGTTGGTAGATTTCCTTCCTTGAAAGGATATTCGTGACCTAAATAGCTGTTCACAACAGTTGACAATGGTTATGTGGCCATTATTTATTTTTCATTTAACGTTTTTATTGAATTCAAATTTCACCATGTGCCATGATGGGATTCGATCTCATTTGCAGAACATCAACCTCGAGCTCTGGATTACAAGTCTAGTGATATTATGCCACTGCTTCCCTCAAATTACATTCTTAAAGTACGGTCACCAAGCAATTAAAAATTTGCATTTTAAAAGCACAAGTAGGAAAAACATTTGATAGATGGAATTAAGTTTCTGCATTTTTCCATGAAAACACTTGTAAAAAGTATCTGCTAAACTTCACAGACTCAAATATTTGTAATGAAATCGTATACAAACTTTACTGAGACTTCACGGAATAATATTTCTAAAATTACTGAAATTTAATTAGATATAAACAAGCCTTGGCTCTTACGAGGTGACTTTCACCATCATTCAATTTCTCTTCATACTGCTCCTTTGTTAAAAGTGACAATTTTTGTTGAGCTGTAGATCCATAACCTCAGTAGCATCAGAGCTGGTTAGTTACTCTTACACATCCTGTTCTTTGACTTGTGTCAGAAAGTAACAGGCCCTTTGGCCCTCCAAGCCTGAGCTACCACATTTGCCCTTCCATATTAAAACAGTCTTCACTTACAGGATCTGTATCCCTCTATTCCCTTCCTTTTCACATATTCATTCAGGCGTTTCTTGAATGCTGCTATTGCATTTGCTTCTACCACCTCCTCTGCCAGGTACTCATCACCCTTTGTGTGAAAAACTTGCCTCGCACATCTCTTTTAAACTCCTCCCCCTTCCCACCTTGAACCTCCTCTACATCGGGGAAACCAAGCGGAGGCTTGGGGACCGCTTTGCAGAACACCTAAGATCGGTTCGCACTAAACAACTGCACCTCCCAGTCACGAACCATTTCAACTCCC